GGTGTGCTGGTGTGCTGGTGTGGTGGTGGTGGTGGTGGTGGTGGCGGCGGCGGGGGCGGGGGTGGTGGTGGTGGTGGCGTTCGTGGTGTTGGTGCTCTTGCTCTGGCGGTGGCGGCTGTGATGGTGTTGGTGTTGGTGGCGGTGGTGGTGGGGTTGGTGTGGTAATTAGTGGTGGTGGCGGTGGTGGTGGTGGTGGTGGTGGTGGTGTTGTTGGTGGTGGTGTTGGTGGTGGTGGTGGTGGTGGTGGCGGCGTTGGTGGTGGTGTTGGTGGTGGTAGTGGTGTGACACCATCATGGCTGTGCGCGGTGTTTGCCCACGGTTCACGTGAAGTTCATGGCAGAGAAGACTAGCGTTTGATGCAACGCGTGGCCCAGGTTCAATGTTTCAGTCTGAGTTGCTCGTGATCATCACAGCTTCGGTCTTCGCGAACCGGTGCAGCTCGGCGTACAGCGGCGAGGACATCGTGAAAGACATCACAACCATTGTGGGCCAAGTCTGGGTGTTTGGCCAGGTGTTTCTTTTCAGTATGCTAGGCAGCAAGATGACTTTGGATATCCTGCCTGAGCTCAAGAGCTTGGCCCCTGTAATGCTGTGCGGGCTGCTCGCACGTGCAATGGGCATCAGCCTTGGTGTCCTTCTCACGGTCACGAGCCGCAGGAGGACGTTGAGCCAAGTTCCATCAGACATCGGCTTTTGCTTTCTGTGCACACTGCCACGAGCGACAATTCAGGGTGCTCTCGGTGCCGAGCCCCTGAAGCAGCACTTCTTCCATGTCGGATATGGCAACAACAGTGCAGTCCAGAACTTCACCTTTACAGCTGCAAGGTTGTATGTGCTATGCTACTCCGTCATGGGTATGATACTCCTGAACGGTTTCGGGCCAATGCTTCTTCGAAGTACCGAGAAAGAGGAATCCACACGCCCGCTGGTGCCCGATGACTCTGAGAATCCGTCCGAAAATACGCAGTTGGCAGACTCGCCACTTCAGGCACGCGAAACTGACTGCTCAGGGCTTTGTTCTTTAGTAGATCAACTTGTCTTGCTGCCAGCACATCGGCAAATTACATGTTTCGCGCAGCAAGACAGCCTGTCGGCAGTGCACTGGCAGGTCCAGCCAGCGCAGCACGAGTCATCTACACCACAGCTGCAGAAGGTTCCGTCCCGCTCAGCCAGCTCGACAGCATCAGGGGAGTCTCATTGGCAGGAGTACGGAGTGGCAGCAGCTAGTACTTTCAGTCCTCAGATTCGCCGCCTCGCTCCTGCAGCCTTTAGCTGAAAGCTTGCCTCCGCGTCACCCCATTCTCTTTGCTCTTCTCTCTCCTTTTCTCTCCCCTCCCTCCCTCTCTGGGGGTCTCTCTTTCTCACTCTGTGCTGTAGAGTGCGCAGCCCGTGGCCCGGCAGGACAAGGGAGGCATGTTGCACACCTTCGAGTCCAGGAATTCCACCTGGCGCCCTCAATGCGAGATACTCCCAGGCTATAAGACAACCTGTCGTGCCACGGCCTCCGAGAAGCGACCTGCCGGGGATGAGGCGAAGAGAGTTCTGAAGCCAACTTACTTGACTTTCAAAGTGCCGAAGAGGTCTGCAATGCAGCGGATGGGGGAGTTTATACGCCGTGGCGATTCTGGAGGACGTGTCCACGAAGTCCCAAACCCGAACCCTTCGCAAGGAGCTATTCCCGTGATCTTATCCTCCAAGTGGAAGGAGGGAAAGGAGGTGACTCATTACTTCGGTCCTGATCCTGACTTCTTGGTCCGTGCTGATCCTTCAGCGGATGAACGGCCAATGACATTCCGGCTCAGAACGAAAGGAAAAGTCGAAACCATCACAATCAGATTCCCTCCCCTCGTGAAAGAGGCGCAGTTCGAGCCAAACGCAGTGATGGTGGAGGTTCCGGAGAATGCAAGACCGGGAGCTCCGTTGGTATTCAAGCATCCGACCGAGAAGGTCTGGCTACAGTTCGAAATTCCCCAGAAAGTTCCGGCAAATCGTTTCTTGGCTGTGGCACTGCCGTCGGCAAAGTATGTGTCTACGTCAAACGAGGACTATTGCTCCTTCATACACGAAATGTGTGATGAGATTTATGCTGAGTTTGTGGAAACACTGCAAACGTTTGAGAGTCTCTGCACCTTTCGCACCCAGCCGTAAACTTCACCCGGTGATGGCGTGGATTTTGCGGCCTCTTGGAGGTTTGGAGGGTTTGAGTTTAAAACTCAAGGCCTCTTTCTGATAGCTGTAGGCTCTAGGCGGGCCTAGATGTGTGACTCCCAACTGCTGCCGCAACCCTAGTGGCCACAGTCAGGAAGTCCACCAAAGATTCTATTCCCGTCTTTGCCATCCTAATTCGCGAAAGGCACATTGGGTGCACGGAGCCAAAACCTGCGGAGGGGATGTGATCACAGCTCCAGTCCAGAGAGAGGGGGCACTCTTCCTTGCCCCTGACTTTGTTTGATGGCATTTGGGCTTGAAGCATTGGCACGGCGCCACTGTCCGTGGAGGCTCGGCTCCTGTCCACTCTGCCGCCAGGGAAAAGCTCGCACGACTCTGACTTGGCAGGTTCTGGGGCCCTGTCGAAGGTTCCAAGCTCAGCAAGGCCAAGCGATGCTTGCTGAATTGATGCTGGCCTGCGCCAGCACTTCCAATAGTTTGCTGCAAAGCACTGAGTGCCTGTGCTGATAGGGGTGATCCAGAGCTTCTCAGAATAGCAAGTTGCCAGAGCAGCGGAGGTATGGCAGCTACATTTTTGCCACCTGACAACGTGCAGAAAGGCAGATGGCAGCTTTTGATGTTTCCTGATGGTCGTGTGGCGAGCTCTCTTGCTGAGTTCCCATTTGCCCGCTTACACTTGGTGCCTCAGGCGGCAACAACGGTTTCGCAATGCAGTACGGACCGTCTGCAGATGCGAAGTGGAACCGAATGCTGGTCTGCTAGTCTGCTAGTCCGATGATGCTGGCCCTTCCGAACGTCTTCTGTATGGTTGCCTCGCAGTGCAAAGTTGTGCAAACATGTTCGGTGCATTTACAGGCGTTCCGTACTGTTTCGGAAAGCCAGTCAATGCATGCAGGAATGTACAACAACACTGACGAAGTGTACGGTCAAGCGCCGCCGTACTTGAGTCGAGGCTGCAGTTGGTTTTGCAATGGCCTCGATCGTGCGGCTCCCCGGGCAGTTGTAGCTGGAGACTCTGGCAGGGAGGATCTTCTTTTTGAGAAGCTGAGGAATAACAACGGCTTCAACGCTGCAAACAACTTTGCTGACAACAACTATGCCTACCAGGATGCAGTGAAAGCATACACTAATGGTGGGTGCAACATGCCGGGCTTCCCCCAGAACGGATTTGGTGGAGGTTTCCAGAACGAGGCGCAGATGGGCTACAACGGGTTCGGCTGGCGCCAGGAGTACTCTCAGGGAACAGGGCCCGAATACGAGGCACAGGAGCTCTGGACAGCAGAAGCAGATGAAGAGTTTGCCCAGGTCCACGTCTTCGGACCGCAGGGGGAACAGGTGCCAGGAGCTGTTACCACTTTTCAGCAAGCTCAAACGATGTTCCCGGACATCCTGGTCCACAAACTGATAGAGGCAGGCTTCACGGCGCCTACACCTATCCAGGCTCATACTTGGGCCATTGGAGTGGCTGGTAGTGACCTGATTGGCATCGCCAAGACCGGCAGCGGCAAGACCCTTGCGTTCCTGATGCCTGGGTTCCTGAAGATCACGCAGACCCGTTCCAGGCTCCCGGGTTCAAGGGAGAGACAGATCGTAAAGCTTCTGCAGTGAATTGAGGGTAACTTTCAGGCTGCCGCAGCTCTGCGTTCTCGCGCCCACCCGGGAGCTGGCCTGCCAGATCGAGTCCGAAGCCGACCGCTTCGGCCGTGCTGCCGGAATCCGGACAGCCTGCTGTGCCTCGGCGACAAGGCATTCGTGCCGAGCATACAGGGCACGACAGCGTATGCTATAGCAGTGCTATAGCCAAAAGAAGGTGATTCGCTAAACAAAGCATCGCGGGTGTTTGCAATCTGACTCTTGAATGATCTTGAATGGCTGTTGCCCACCCTCGTTCAGAGACCCTCTCCAGGCTTGCAGGAAATCCGTCCACACCTTCGGAAAAAGACTGTCGTGCTAGCCAGTGCAGTTGCGCAGTTCGTGCCCACCTTGTTAGTCCTGCGAAATACCCTTGTTAGGAGGTGTTGCAGGTGAGGGGAGGGGGGTTGATTTCGAAGCTCGTGTACTGCAGCGTCTGAGACCAGAGTCACTAGAGATTCCATCTTCTAGATGTTCCTTGCAAGCGCGACCCAGGCTACGGTGGTGCACCTCGGGGCCAGCAGCTCGGTGCCCTACGCCGGGGGGCGCAGGCCGGGAAGTTGTGGCCAAGGGCCTGGCCGTAATGTAGTTAGTGACTTTTGCGTAAGCCCTGACGTGCTGTGCAGGTCATTGTGGCGTGCCCGGGGAGATTGAATGACTTCCTGTCTAGTGGAGCTGTGAATCTTTCCAACGTCTCCTACCTGGTCCTGGACGAAGCAGATCGGATGCTTGACATGGGTTTCCCGGCAGCAATAGCAATAATAATAATAACAATAATAATAAAAACAAAATAAAGAATTCTGCTTGCAGCGAGGCTTGAGCTGCCGTAGACATGTGAAATGCCAAGCCAGGCTTCGAGCCGCAGATCAGACAAGCCGTGCCCTGAGCGGGTAGCAAACGGCAAGCATGAACCCGTTAGCCGGAGCGACGTCTGGGGGCTGCAGCACGGAGGTCATTCAGCAAGTTCCCGAAGACAGGCAGACACTGCTGTTTACCGCCGCTTGCTTGGTAAGGGGACCATGGCCTGTGCGAGCCATCCCTTCGCAGTCCTAACAACCGGCTCCGAGGCGACATGGCCCCGAGAAGTTCGCTCGTTGGCCAGCGAGTTTCTCAAGCGACCATTCCACGTGCAAACCGGAGCGGTCCATGAGATGACAGTCGCTCGCTCTGAGATGTGTGCATGAGATGTGCTTAGACGTCTCCCGGTCGGTCTCAGCATAGTGGCAGTGTGCTCTGCCCCGTCGCATCAGTGACAGGCTGTGGTAGGATTCATTATTCATGATGCCCTGGGCCCTACAGGTAAACAAAGACATCGAACAACGTGTCGTCTTCTGCTCCGATGAGGAGGACAAGGCAATCGGCTACAGCCAGTCAGCATGCGGTGCGTCAAGATACGATGTCCCAGCGTGTCGCTACCGGATAGTGCTGGACAAGCTGGCAGCAACTAGTAGGAAGATGTTAGTGGGGGGAGACGGTGGGAGTATGCAGGCCCAGCAGCTCCTTCAGATCCTGTCCTCACTCGGGCGCGGAGACCGTTGCTTGATTTTCTGCGAGATGAAGCGCGACTCGACAGCACGAGACCGATGCGAATATGACACTTTTGAAGGGGTCCTATGCTTCCCAGGATCTCTTTCAGTCGGTCGGCTTGTAGAGTGCCCAAGGCAAGACCGCACTTTCTGGTTCTCACAGGACATGTTTTGGCTCGACTCTTTCCGTTGCCGCAGCAAAATGTCTAGATTCAGATCTTCCGGAGTCAGCGCTTGTCTTACTCGACGTTGTTAGAAGAACATTGCCGGAGACTAGACCCTGCGAGGAGTACATCCTTGTCATTCTACAGATCGCCGTTCGGGGGCAGGTTTGTTCTTCCTTACGGGCCCAGCCATGACTCTGCATTGCTACTTTGTGCTCGACTAGTCGTGTCTCCGGGACCGGACCGGAATGCAAGGCTCAGTGGTACGCCCTCCAAGCAATGCCATTGTTTTCGGAGGAATCGCTCCAGAAGGCTTTGCTAGGGCGAGCAGTCCGACAATTCGTGTTCACACGAACCCAGTCTACACCCGGGGCATCTCTTTCGTGAGTCCAGTGCCGCTCACACCAGTCCAAGCGCAAGGCTTTCGCCTACAAGCCCGTTGTCCCTCGCCACAAAGGGCCGTTCCTGGAATTCAATCTATTTCGCCATATGCTTTTCGGCCGGATGCTCATGGCCTCCCAACACGGAAGATCGAAGCCGTGGACCCGGTTGCGAGCCCCCGTCCACAGACAAGGTCGGCAATGCCGGCAGACCGGCCCATGGCCTGCAGCACTTGGGCCAACAACTTTTCACCACGGCGCGTGCACAAGATGGACAGGGTAGCAGAGGAAGAGTGCGAGTCTGTCATGTCAGTGTCTGTCCCAACGGATGGCGCGCGGTCCAGCGTGAACGGGCATGGACCTTCCTGGTCGGTCGTGGATAGGTCTGGCCGTGCTTCGGCCGCAGCTTCGGTCACAGAGGCGACCAGCACACATAACGAAGAACCACCGCCCAAGTCGGGTGGCACAGGCGATGCAATGCAGCTGGAGGCTTTGCTCGCAGAGATCACAGGCCTCCGGCAGCAGAATGCGGCTCTGCGAGAGGAACAGAAACGCCTGGCGGAGGGCTTGCGCGAAAGCGAACAAGGCGAAGGCGGTGGAGACATGCAGACTAGGAACAAGAAGCTGGAGCAGGATGCGCGCGACATGCTGCAGCAGTTTGAGGAGTTCGAGAAAGAGAAGGCAGAGGAGCTCAGAGAGTGCCAGGATGAGATTGCGGGCCTGAATGCCAAGCTCGCAGAACAAGAGCTGGCAATGAAGCGCTTCAAAGTCGACGTGGAGCGTGAGAGGGCACATCTTCTTCAATCCATGGCAGATGAAACAGGGGAGCTGCAAGGTCGGATCGACAAGCTGGATAGGGACAAAGACGCCTGTCAGATCGAGCTTGCCAAGGCCTTGGCGCGCATCGACATCCTCTCAGCGCAGGGAAGGGGATATCCGGATGGCCTCTCGGAAGATCCTTCCTTGAGCCAGCTCCGCTCGGTGCAAAGTGAACGAGAGGCTCTCAAGGATGAGGTCACGAACAAGGATGGACAGATCATCCTGTTGCGCAGCCAGCTCGAAATCGCAGACAGGAAGCTCCGACTCTCGGATATGGAAAATGCCATGCTGAAGAGTGAGCTTGAGCTCCGGAAGCGAAGTGCATCTTCCCATGTATGAGCACGGCTGCGCAGAGCCACCACCTCCCCATAGGCCCCTAGGCCAACCGGCTTCATACCTACTTCGAAGAACTGCAACGATTGCAATTCATGTTCCCTTGCTCTCACTTATTAATGTTTCGAGCCCGACGCTGGCTGGAGCCGGGCACTGCTAACGCCCAACATCCTGAGAAAAAGGGGGCGTGCACTCAGCAAGCTGGTGGTGTCGAATTATGACACCGGTCAGGGCAGCTCTCAACTTTCAGCTCGGCAACTCTGAGAGTCGAAACCCATTTCATGAGGATGCACTTCAGAAAGGTACACTTTTTCGGCCTGAGAATGTTAGCTTCTCCAGGTTCTTGCGAGATCCTGGCGAATGATCTGATGCAGTACCACGGGGTGCCGGCCGTTCGCATCCACGGAGACATGGCCCAGTACGAGCGCACCGGGGCGTTGGAGGCGATGGCAAAGTTGCGTAGATCTATGTGTTTGTGTAGATACGTACTGGGATAAAGGCCGTGCGCACGATTTGCGTACACGTATGTGTGTACGTGAATGTCAGTCTATGTATATGTTTGTTTAAATATAGATACATAGATGGGTACATAGAACGAGAATAGATGGATGGATAGATAGATAGATAGATAGGGCATGACGACTAGACCTAGCCCGCCAAGCTCGTTTGCTATGTCAGGCCTTCAAGAGCGGCCAGAGCCCGATTCTTTGTGCAACGGACGTCGCTGCACGTGGACTCGACATCAAGGCACCCAAGACGAGCAGCGTCATGCGGCCGCCTAGTGCTTCTAGCAGTCAGTGCCAACTACGACGGAATGGTTCATCAGTCGGACACCAGCTGAAACAGGATCTCGATCTTTTTCACGCAAACACTGGCCTGCATCAGTTGTCATGCCGCGCAGGGTGTCACCTGCGTTATCAACTACGATTCCGCAAGTTCGGCAAAGGACTACGTTCACCGCGCAACGGCCGCACAACATTTGCTGCGTGCATTCTCTGAGCCAAGATGCCTAGACCAGCATTTTTCTCCCGGCCGGCGCCCGGCACACATTCGGCACGCTGGTGTCGCTAAAGTTGGTGAAAAAGTGCTTTGTTGCATCTCGTGGGTGGCTGAGGAATTGGAAGGACTGGGCGCGCCGGTCGGGCCCCTGTGGAGATGCGCAGCTTCAAGATTCTTCAAGCTACGAATTCGGGCTTGATTTGCGACGGCAGCTCTTGCCGGGGGAGGGCATGCATTGCATTTCAGCTTTAATGCTATGTATCGGTCAGGTCAGAAAGGGTTGGCCTATTCCCTGCTCCTGCTCCACAAGGAGGTTCGCTTTCGCTCCTTCGGCGTTGTGCTGGTGGTTGCGGAGTGCCTTGTTCATTCGTCGACGGAATGCCAGTCTATTCTTGCGTAGGACAAGAAAGCCTTCGAGATCGCTTCCGTTCTTGTTCGCAGCGGTGCGGTCGTTCCCCCAGAGCTGGAGAAGTACGTCGCGGCCCCAGTGCCCAGTGAGATCCCAGTGAGTTCCGTTTCATCAGCACGCGGTATTGCAAACAGCGCGCTATGCCATGCTGAAGCAGAGGCCACGCAGCAGTCTGGTGGCAAAGGAAGGGGAGGCAAGGGCAAAGGCCGACTGGGACCGGTCTTTCCTAGTGTAATAGTCATCTGCAGCATCCGTCGAAGTCCCGTCGGCGGTTCCTGCGGCCAGGCAAGGGCAAGGGCAAAGGCGGAAAAGGCAAAGACGGCAAGAACGGCTCCAAAGGTGGCAGAGGAAAGGGAAAGGCTGGAGCCAAAGGCCAGGGCTCTGGAGAGTGATTCGCAACTGCTGTGTATTTGCCTTGTTCCCATTCTTTGCGCATATATTGTGTGAGGTGCACCGGAAAGTTGTTCTTCAATTTTTGTTCTGCCAGGAAAGCCTCAAGGGCCTCCCAGCCAGCCAGGGCCTTGGTTTGGCCGGTGAAGTGTTTCCCCTACCAGGACCAACGTGCGGCGGAAGTTTCCTTGCTCCAGCTAAGGTTTTGATGGGCTGGCAAGACGAGACACGTTACCACCAGTGAAATCATAAGCCTACAGTCGTATTCTGTCAGCGTTGCCTCTTGCAGTCTTATGTGGATGTCAGGTCTGTCAGGTGTCAGTTTCGGTTTGCAGTGGCGTGTCTCCGTTTTGGGCACAAGTGCAATGCTTTGCCACCGCACTTCGTGTCACCAATACGACAAGCCAGTTGGCTCCCACGCGACGAGCGCCTTTGCCAGGCCATGTCCCCCTCAGTCCCAAAGGTGGAGCACATGTTGTTATCGACTTTCCAGGGCCTGGTAATAAGATACTAAACAGATCTTCCGACTGCTCGTCTACGATGAGCCAAGTTCTTTCAGAGTTCTGTGATTTCTCTGATTTGCAAAGAAGGTTGAGCCACAATTTTCCTGGTCAGACCTCGAAGAAAGGCAGACACAATGCTTACACGCCGGCTGCCAGTCTCAGCACAGCTACCAAACAGGAGAAGATCTATGTTTGGTCAAGTGCTATTCAATCTGGACCGATATGTACAGTATACAAACCGTGGTACTGTCAATCTTGCAATTGCCGCATTTGATGCTTTACTCAACAGGCTGGTTCTCTGTCTGCTCGGCTGCCGTGTTGACAGCTTAACGCTTTGGCTTTGGCTTGGGTCAGCGGACGGGCGCGTGCCTCGTAACCTAGCAACATGCCAGCGGCTACTTAGTACTTGCAGCATTGCCTCGTACTTCAAGACATGTCAAGACAAGACCCTTTTCGACCTGCTCCTCCGAGCCATTGGCCTTGGCCAGGCTGCCGTAATGTCCAAGACAACTCATGCGACAAGCGGCCCCTGGCATAACCACGTTCAAGCGTGCAGCTAAGCATCTCCAAAGGGAGGCAAGTTTGGTGAGGTTGTTGCCGGTGCAATGCGCCGCAAGCAAACGACCTGCACCTTTTAGAACTTCATACTGTCAGCGTGAAGGGCCGACACCGCGAGTGACCATGGATGTCCAGCACAAGCGTCATGAAGGCATCGTGGCCTCAGAACTCAAGTAAGCCATCAAGATTTGTCATGCCTTACTGGTACCGTCTCTCAGCGCGCTGTACACATTCCGTCTCCTAGCAGAGACAGCCGTGGCGCAACAGGTTTATGCGCCAGCCGGCGTCAATCTTCATGGGGTTTGGGCGGAAGGGGGCTCGTTGTGCATCCTTGATCGTTTTCAGCAGCCAAAGAGTACCCCTTTCTCCTAAGCCAAGTCCATGAAGCTGGAAGGAGCTGCTTCTTGCCAGCTCAGCCCGTTCTGCCGATCGAGCAAAAGGGCCATCTTCCGAACAGGGCGCATCTGACCTGTGACTGAAGCATGTCTCTGCTGTGCATACTGAAGATGCTCAGCGACAAATTGTGCTGCACCCCTGGTTCGGTTCGCGCAAATTTGGGCTCCAGAGGGATTTGTGGAGTTGCTCTCCACTTGTCCCCTCCTGGATTGCAAGGAAGGCACGGCTCCTGTTCCCACTGTGAGAATGCACGCACCCTTCGCCGAGAAAACAACGAAGTGTCAAAGCAGCATGGCCAGGCACTGGAGTGCCTTTCCACTGGTGATAGCTTGGTAGCTGGCCTGGATGCCGAAAAGCAAGTACGGTCTCCCTGTGTCACCGGCGGCTTGCTCCAAGGTTTTTCGTCCTACCGCATTGGTGCGCCAATGCAGTACCTTAGTTTCAATGAGGCAGGGCTTGGGCAGACTAGCAACTGGATTCCTGATTCTGGGCGCATGGCATTTAGATCATGCACTCCCAATGGCAGGCTGTAGGTGGCAAGGGCCAAATCAAGGGCCTCCCTGAAGCCCGGCCGGCTCGCTTGAGACACACATGACTAAGGTCACAACTTGAAGTCACCAGCCAAGCAGTAAGCAACGACAGATTTCTGCGCGACTTCGTCCCCAATCGATGAATTATCATCCCCTTGATGCCGAAGAGTCCGAATGCTGATGTCAACGATCCTTCTATTGAAGACCGTGCCAGGAAGACAGCGACACACAAAGGGCGCTGCTGGAGCGATGTTTCCTCTGTACTGAGGTGTTGAAGTCTACTTACCTGCTTGCAGAGTCGTTGTGTAGCGAATTGTCCACCACATACAGCCATGCCGATGTACACATGTGTAGCTCAAGTTTTGGATGCTGCCATATATCAGACAGTGTGTAGTCATTTCAGAGTGCTCGTCGGTGGCATCTACCCGTTGCAGGACTCTCGCTGTAAGTGTTGGAATCTTGTTTCAGCCGCTTTGGTTACCTCCCTACCCGAAACGCCCAACTCGCACGTTTGCTGGCTTGTCGAAGGGGCATGTTGTGCGCTGCCAACGGAATGTGCAGGACCCGATGCCTTTGAGAGACACTTGGGTACTTTGGGAGCAGGCTGACGCGCATTGCAAGTTTGGGTCATGATACGTGCCTTTGCACTGCCTGCAGGCTGTACCGCCAAATGATGGCAAAGGCCACGAACCTACACACCCGAGAAACATGTACGACTAATTTACGCGATGCGACAAGCCTTATGGCTTGAGCTGTTTCGCTCTCAGGTTCGGCCTATGCCGACTCCATGAAGGAGATCGTGCCGTTCAAGACTGCCCAGGACTTCTGTCTGTAGATGGGTCACTGCGTTCCTTGCAAGGTCTTGCAACCTGGAGCGGCGATCGTTTCTTGTCCCCCCCGTGCAGTTTGTCACGGCGGCTGCCATCCTCCCACTCAAAGTGCGCCAAAGGAATTCTGGAGCATCTGGAATGGGGTCCTCGACTGAGCACGTCTGGCTATGAGCCTGTTGCCTGGTGTCAGTAGCAGCTGGCAAGAAGAAGTGGCCCAACTGGTACCTTTCATCCCAAGCTCGAGGTGAACAAGATATCCGTAGGAACTTGCTTCGGAGCTGTGGGGATTCAAAGGCTTTGCCAGTCCGGCCCGGGGGGAAGCCTATCCTATTCATCGCGTCTTGTCAGGTGCCTCAACCTAGTGAGCTCCTCGAGAACAAGCGCATCACGAGAGACAATGACGACCTGGCATGTATTTGCTTGCTGTGCTCAACCTCACAGCATGGACGTAAACCAAATTAATGTATGAATTTGGGTGCATGTCTTGCGCTGGTGTAATCAGTTTTGTTGCAGCATTACAGGGCGGCACCCCCACGGCCATCGATGCCATCATGATCTTCAAGAAAGGAGTATGGCTCTCAGCTATTGCTCTTGCTGAGGTTGAGCATGTCAAAAACGTTGCTTCTCTCTCCGGCTCTTTTTGAGAGTCTTGACGTCCTATGGAGGACAGCTAGCTGCAACAGCAGCAGCAGAGCGTGTGAATGCCTGCCGGCAGTTTGCGAGCTCTTGCCAAACAGCTTTCGCAAGGTTCGACCAGAGTGGGAGGACCCTCTAAATGCGACTGGCGGGCATTTCCAGGCCGGTGCGGAAGTGGGGCTGAGCTTCCGTGGACAAGTGACCCACGTGTGTCAGGTCCAGCTGAAGTCTAGCATTGGCGGAGCGCAGATAGACGAGTACTGGAACAACATTGTTCTGGGCATGGCTCCTCCCCCAGAGCAGTCGCAGGGAGGGAAGGGAAATCGGCCGAACACGCGAGATGTTGGAGAGAGTGTTGGAAGCCTTTCAGGGCCCTGATGCCCGCTTTGGTGAGCCTGTTAACATCCAGGTCGGGGGCACTATTGAGCCCTATGACATGATCACAGGAGCGATGAGCCCAGGTTGTGCCAGCAGCAGCAAGTTGTCCAGATTTGCTGGCTTTGGCATTGTCTTCGTAGGTAGAGCAGGGCTAGCAGAGCCCCCTGTTCTCTCTCCAGCAGACTTGGACCCTTCCAGGTCCGGCTAGTGGACAAGCTTTCAGGAGCAAAGGCCGCCACAAGCTTGCAAAATTAGATGCGGAGCTTGCATTTGCAATCCCACCAGGCTGCTGGAATCCTGAGGATCGAGCTTTGGTTCACCAAGTGCGCTGAACAGATCCCCCTGGGCAAACGTTGTTGCTGAGTCTATGTCTCTTGGTCAATGTTGCCGCCCGGCAGGTACGACAACCAAGATGCAGTCAATGCATTAAAAAAGAGCATGGTCGGGATCTTGATCGGCAGCACCAGACCACATGCTGAATGATGGCATAGCTACGTGACCGGTCCTGCTTTTGACGGCAGACAGGCTGACAGTTAACGCGTGCAAACGCTTAGGCTTAGGCTCTCACTTTAGCACATCACCTCGATGCACTCATCATGGTGATGCATGGCATGCTGGCCTGAGGAAAAGACCATGTGTGAAAAGCTGGACGGCACCCCGGGGACTGCAGTGAAGATAGAGCTGAAACGTACGGGCCCCGGCTGCGCATCGCACTTATTTGACAGATGGGCATTCGCTTCCCTCCCACTTCCCGACCCATCCAGACCTTCAGAATTGAGAGGCGAACCGTGGCTGTTAACCTCGTAGCGATCAGGGTTGGTCTCCCTCCGAAACCCTCCAGATACCGATGACGTCCAAACTCTATGAGCAAGCCTCGCTGCCAGCTCACGTCTCTGCCGGGAAGCACTGAGGGAGGCCTTCTGCTTTGGCCGGATCGGCCCCGGCTTTTACTTTGCCACGGCTCTAGGAATGCCGCGCGTTTCGTAGTAGTGTAGCGGGTGCAGTGACAGTCCAGTGACTGGAACCCTGTAATGTATTTTTGTTGTGACAAGCGTAAAGGCAGTAAGTAGTAGTGGTGGTAGAAGCAGTAGTGGCAGGGACGGTAGTAGTAGTAGTAGTAGTAGTAGTAGTGGTAGTGGTAGTGGTAGTAGTAGTAGTAGTAGTAGTAGCAGTAGTAGTAGCAGTTGTTGTTGCTGTCGTTGTGGTGGTAGTAGTCGTAGTAGTGAGTCGTCGTCGTCCTCGTGCTAGGAGCAGTAGCAGCAGCAGTAGCATTTGCAGTAGCCGTAGAAGCAGTAGTAGTAGTTGTTGTTGCCGTTGCTGCTGTTGCTGTAGCAGTAGTAGCAGTAGGAGCAGTAGCACCAGCAGCAGCAGTAGCAGA